TATTATAAGAAAAATAATAAAAGGAAATTCAATTAAATCGCGAGTAAAACTAATTATATAATCAATCATATTGTGATTTATTTAGGCTGAATTGACATGTAATAAACATGAATTTATGTTCAGAAAAGTTTATTAATTTCACCAATAATGCTCGATCTGTGTATTAACATTGAATACTCAAGAGAAAAAACAAAAGAAAAAAACTCAAAATCTATATAGAATAGAAGAGATGCTATCCATTATTAGGGGTGTTCAAAATTTAATCTCGTCCAATCAAACCAACCAATCCAATCCAAACCAGTCCAATTTTGATCTGTTTTGGTAATTTAATTGAATCGGATCGGATCTCAATTTGAGAATCCAATTGATTTGGATCTGTTATTGGATTTGCTAAGTAAATTTATTTATACCAATCCAATTATGCCTTTTAATTTATAAACTTTATTGTGACAATAAATTTTTAGTTTTAATACTTAATAGATTTATTTTATTGGGATTATTTTCATTTTTTATTTATCTTTGTAATTGACACCTAACTTATGTTCTCTATAATATAATTATTTGTTTAAAATTTGAATATAATCATTTTTTAATGTTTAAATAATATAATAGTTCTCTAAGACTAAATTATTAATTATGAAATAATAAAACTTTGACAAAAGTTCAATAGGGTGTATAATTGAAGTAAAATCAATTAATTCAAATAGTATTTTAATTTTTAATTTTGTAATGTATCAATAAAAAAGGCTTGAATAATCATTTTGTAAATACTACGATCCATATTATAAGATCAAACTCATAAAAGATAATTATTAAGGATATAATAGGTTTTTTTTTTATATATTTTGACTAATTTTTTTAGTAAATAATATCTATACAAATAAGTGTCATTTTTTGGTCTTTTAGAACGTTTGTGTTTCATTAGTGTTCATAAACCTCCATCCTCATTTTGATTTTCTCCATATTCCACATCTTACACTTAATCTGTATATTCAAAATAGATACATTATCATTCAATAAACATTTAAAAAAAACTCACGAGTTTCATTATCTTAAAAAAATTAAACTTAAATTCAACTATTTAATTATAAAACGATATAATACTCCTAAATTAAAAAAAAAAAAAAATAAATAACAGTTGGAAAAAACTGCATTATTATAATTTTTCTTTTGTTCATATATAATCAAATCCTTATTTCCTTTTTCTATTTCTTATTTGGATACTTTAAATATAGTTTGGCCCTATAACCTGCTGATAAAGTTAACTTTTAAATCCATTCTGTAATTATGGGTCTGATTATTATTATATATTAATATATTTAATAAGTTATATATAATACCATAACTGATTATAAAAATATAATTAACATGTAATGTACAACTTGTATAAACGTGGGCTCCGTTGGTGTGCCAATTGGGAATACTCTTTTAGTATTCCCAAAAAAGTTAAACAGAAATATCCAAAAACTTTGATTTTTGGGAATACTACTCCCAATATATTCAACTTTTTAAAACCCTTAAATTGATAATTTAATTAAATAACCCTAAATATTTTTAAAAAATTACAAAAAAACCCCAGTAATTCATATTTACCATAATCCGGCGGTGGTGCGCGCTGTCCGTATTGACATTGGGTTGGGGGTGTTTTTGTTAACTTTTAAGATTTTATTTAGGGGGTGTTTTGTAAATAAACAAATATATGGGGTATTTATTAATTATAAATCTACATCGTAATATCCGCCCAATTCAATTTTTTTAACTTTTTTCAGAAAACTTTTCCCAAAAACACCCAATTATGAACCAAACGAAGCCGTGATTTTTATAAAAAGACATCAAACTTGTATCAGTACGTAAACAAATTTGCGTTTGTTTACACCCGATATTAATTTAAAACAAAAAAAATTGGTTGGAACACGAAAGATAAATTAGAATTCATATTCTTATATAAGATATCATTAATACTCAAACAAAATCATCCTTCACCACAAGAAAATGGCTTCCTCCTACGCAAATCCTTGACGCGAGAGCTGACGCTAGAGTTGCCATAATATAACGACACTATTTTCGTTGACGATTTATTTAATATCTCGACACAATGAGTATTGATATACGGTGTGTACTCGGTTCAATGCATTTTTCGCGTCAGAGTATTTGTAATAGAGAATACTATGTTACTCACGATCTTACTAACCATCTTATTATCCTTTGTGAAAATGGTTCCTCCTACGCAAATCCTTGACGCTGAGAGCTGACGCTAGAGTTGCACATATATAACGACACTATTTTCATGTTGACGATTTATTTTAATATCTCGACACAGAGTATGAATACGGTGTGTACTCGTTCAAGGCCATGTCTTGCGTCAGAGTATTTGTAATAGAGTAATACTATGCTTACTCACGATCTTACTAACCATCTTATTATCCTTTGTAAATATAACGCATAGTACGGGTATCATACTCATAGTACGGGTACCATATGTAATTTTAACAAAGATAATAAGACTGTTAATAAGCCCGTGAATAAACATAACATTATTGTTTGCAATAAATTACATTCTCGACAACATTTCTCAATGCAATTTTCTGATGTCAGCCTACTGGTTGACTACCAACACGAAGTTGCGTCATGGCATGATCACCACGTGATAACATGGTTGGCCCAACGCTAGTTCAACGTATCAAAGTAATTGTAATCATGTTCCGTCGAAATGTGGCATATGTAATCACTGTAAATAAGCTGACCATGCACATCCTAATTAATTATACCACTTCAAACACTTGTCTTAGTTATTTCCACTTGAATTTTTTTTTTTCAGAATTAATATATAATAATATTGAAGTGTATGTTTCTATATATTTTAATTATTAAAAAGAATGAATTGTTGTTGTTACTGTTTTGTACATCCTTCAAATTAAGCTAATAAAAGTGTTCATTAATTAGTAATATGAAGGTTTAGTGGTGGTGCTGGTGGTGACTGGCAGATATATTTAATTTTCAAGTGTATTAATGTTAAAGCCAATCCTCAATTAGAGCTGTCTATTTCCATTTGCAGATTACAAAGGGAATACGAATTACTAAATCAATCAATTTATTATTCCTTCTTTTTATACTTTGACTACTCTCTATAATATGACATTCGCAATCAACACCTTTGATGTTCAGTACTAACTAATCAATCAGAATTTAATATGTTCTGAAAAATTTACACATCAAATACCAATTACAAGAATATATATATATATATATATATATATATATACCAATTTGATTTTAATTAATTTATACCTATAATTTAAAGCTTCACATTGCAAGTTATAAAAATGAAATTAGCTGAAAGGCCTGTTGACACGAGGGTTTCCTTTTTTTCTATAAAAAATGAAAATTTTAAAAATTTGCAGAATCTTTACCAATCTAGTCAAGAAATTAATATGGATAGAGTGAAATACATTTCATAACCATTTTTGGGTGGTTGAGCGGTTTGATAAAGACTTTCAAGTATATTAGTCAAAGGGTCATAAATTCGAATCTCTCTTCAAGTACTAATAGAGTAATTACTGGAGCTCTTTCCTAACTAGTAGTTCCAAGGTGGTCCAGAGTGAGTAGCTGAATTAAGGCAAAAACTCTGGAATTGGCAGAATAAGGGATTTTGTTTTTATTCAACGAAGAGGAAGAACATACCCAAAGTTAGAGAGAAATGATGAATTTTTGTTTTGAATTGATCAAATATAATAGTTAATTAACAAAGAGAATTTAGTTAAAGAGGATGACAAATTTCTTATCCAAAATAAATGTAGTTGATACTGTAAACAAAGCAAAGAAAACATAATAAAATTGCAAACTGGGTAACCGAAATTGCATGTTTTTATGCACCTTTTTAACAAATAAAATAAAAATGGCTTGAAATGGGTTACTTTCTCTTTGTCCTAATTGGCAACCTTAGTTGTTATTTAACTCCCCTCTTTCTCCTTTGTTTTATTTGTACATGCATCCTCTCTTCACATTGCTTTTATTGATTAATATCAGAGGGCCTCTTTTAGGTATGTTTTTGCAATCTTTTCTTTCTCATTCTTTCATTTTAGTAGGGTCAACATTTCATTCTAGGGTTTATTTTATTTTCCCCATGAGAGATCACTTAGTATTGAAAGCATTAAAAACACTCTTTTTTTTCATAATATTCAAAAGGGATGTTTGATATTTTTTAAAGGGGATTTTAATTTTTTTTTTGAGGGGGTTTTTGATCATTATAGCGGGAAAAATGAAATAAACCCCTTTCATTCTATTGTATTTTTAATTTCAAGATTAAGAAAATTCTGAAGATGCAGTAGAAATGAACCCATTTGGCCACCTTCCATGTGTTTGCTTATTTTTTAGTTTATTTTATGGGGCAATTGAAAGGGAGTGTGGTGGGATAAAAAGGCTAAAGAGCCTAACCAAGCCTAATCTTGTTGGACTGAAAATCAAAATCTCATCTGAATCAAAGCTTAAAGGTAAAAGCAATTGACTTTTAAACTAGCTTTTTGACAGGTAGGGTCAAAAATGACTGCAACACCAGTAAATAATGAACAAAATACCTCTGTTTCCAGCTTCAATAGAGGCAAAATTAGTGCCATTTGTTATGTCACCCAATCTCTTATTTAGATACTAGAATGCATTAAATCACGAAAATAGTACAACACATGCTACACGATATGCTAGTTTCTAACTGCAAATATGGGAGACGTAATCCATTGAGAACCTTAAAGACCATGAATTCATAACTTTCATACAAGTTGCTTAGGCAGTTAGGATAAGAAATCACAGCAAACATCTCTAATTTTTTTTTTTTTCTGTGATATAGAAGATGAAACCATTAAAATACATGTTTCATCGTCTTGACTGAAATTATGATAAGTTAGAAATACGTACATTACATGTTTAGTTTCGCTAAAGATAAGAGCTCAACCATCACGATTTTATTTCCTGCAACAAAATTCTTTACTTTCACTTTTCTAACAAGACTTCTTATACCTATTTCTACCTTTTCTTTGGACTAAGTTAGTTATGGTCAAGCAAATAGCAACTTATCCAAAGCATGTTTAATTCCATAAAATTGCCAGTTTCGTGGAAAGCAAAACTCTAGAAAGTACTAAATTACCATTTCGCAGCTGAAAAGTTGTTGCAGGTTAGGGCCTATCTGATTGGTACAGAGCTTGTCTAACGAGATAATAATAATCCATGGAAACTCCAGCAAGCCAAGGTGTAGCCGGTGGCAAACCGTTAACAACATTTGTGCAAACAGACTCCAATACTTTCAGAGAAGTCGTGCAGCACTTAAAAGGTCCATCAGAGAGTGAAGCAGGTACACAAGAAGGAGCAGCTGCAAAGATAGCAGGCACAAAGCGGCAGACTTCTAAACTCCATGAGAGAAGGCACTACACAAGGCCCAAGCTCGAAATAGTCAAATCTCCAATCAATTTCAGACCTGGTTCATCTCCATCAAGATCAGGAAACTCCAGTATTCTTCCAAGTCCTGTGGGTACCCCATCTACAATTTTTTCAAAGCTGTCCATAGGAGAAGAGGAAAACAAAGAAGAACAAGCAAAGAGTGAATTGAATAGCCACGAAGAAGAGAAAGCCATCAAAGAGAGGAGGTTTTATTTGCACCCATCACCACGGTCTAAACCAGAACATACTGAACCAGAATTGCTTACCTTGTTCCCTCTAACATCTCCCAGGACAAGTAAGACACCTTGAATTTGATAGAGCATCGCCTCCAATTACAACTTCGTTTATTTCCAATAAAATACATATATAGAGTACATAGGCAAAGCAACTTGATTTTGTAACAAACCTCATCTGCTTTTCAGCAATTGAGTGTCTTGTACCAGATTATAATGCAATTTAGCAGCAGGTTGTGATGATGTATATTTTTTCCTCACCACTGACATTATAGATGATGTATGTGAATAAAAGAAAAGGAAGGACAGAGCAAGGTTGCTGAAAACGAACAAAGGAGAAAAAGTCTAGTGCTAAAATGGAAAATTTTGAGGCATCTATCTAACTATAGATCAATTCATCAAGGTATGCTCAATTGTACATATTACGGAATTTATACTCCTTGAATATTCTTGTCCAATAGCCTTTCTAGGAGCTAAATTTATTTGTTTACAAAAGCTGTCCACATCAACAAAGTCAGAAGGGACTTGTGTGATATAAAAGCCAAAAATTTCATCCAATAGGAGGACTAGTCTCCAAATCTTTAGCATATATCCTTCTTCTAAGTAGGTCTTAAGTCTTTGTTTTTCTCAGAAATCTACACTCATATGTTATATGACCAAAGTTTACCATAATATGCATAAATTGTGTTTTTATCTCGCTGTTCCTCTAGAGCACGAATTGGTAATGGTTAACAGAATATACCTTTGGTTTTATCATAAAACAAATTATTTCTAGCTAATTAGATTACGTATATTATTGAGTCATATTTTTTCTTTCTCATTAATTGATTTAGCGTTTTGCTCACTTGCATATAATGGAGCACTGGAGCTTTTGATCTAAATTAATTATACATGTCACCAAAGGCTGTAAAGTTTGTTGATATTACAGTGAATGAATTAAAGAGAAAGTGAGGAAAAGTGAGAAAATTTAGCCAAACACCCAAAATTTAGACAATTCATTCAACCCTATTCATCCAACCCTGAATCCCTCTCTAAACTGCCATATCTTCAAGGAGCAGTGCTTATAAGAAGATTCAGTCACTGAACCACAACTAATACATAAAAGTATGAGAATTGTCATACCCTAGTTTAAATTGTTGAATAACATTGCCAAGATAAAAATGATAGCAAATAGATAAAATATTAGACAAACAGTGAAACTTCTAGACTGTTATAATAGTAAAGGGAAAAAAATAAGTTTCCCCAATTCTCATTGCATAAGATTATAAGCATAACATGAAATAGACAACCAAAGAGAGAAGCAGCATAAAACAAAATCATTGAAAAACAAGTCATGCAGAATCTCTTGGCAAGAATGAAGTGATACAGAAGAGTGTTACCTCTGCTGGAAAATTGATTTCCAACCATAGGTAAATATATGGTGCAAACTTGAAAAATCAGGCTCTGCACCCCAGTGCACAACTTTTAAAAGCATTCCATGTTGCTTCAAGAGATAGAAGAAGGGGTAATCCCTGTCCATCTGAGGCAAGAAGACAATGAATATTCTAAGTTGACAATGCTTAATCAGCTGGCAAACAATTATTACACACTAATAGTACCACATAAGAACAAAATATCACATGTGAGCCTTCAAATCAGTGGTTAATTCAACTTTCTCAAGTTCTTAATATTGACGTGTCTAGCACTTCTTTTTTCTCCTGAATAATGTTTGAAATAGAAATTTTAAATAAATGCCAAAGAAAAATGAAAAATAGAAACAAAATTACAGATATGAAATGCTCAACTGAGACAAACAAAAAATCCATCTCAATCCATGTGCCTTATTAAGTTATACCAGCAATGGGATAAAGCCAAGAAACTTTGGCAGATTGGCATGAAATCATCCATTTCACTCACTCAATCATTACAGCAGATGGCATCACATCAATTTCGGGCATATTCGATGAATGGTCCAATCAAAACCAATTTTGACCTCGACCCTTTGAACTAGAAAAGCATACCATGACTTTTGAAATTTACCTACAAAAGGAAATAGAGGACAAAAGTTAAGTATCATTAATTGAAACTCTAATTATTCATCTTAAGCTAACATTTTCTATACCATAAGCAACAAGGCATCCAATGCATTAAACTGAAAAGTCAGTCAACATTTTAAAGAAGACCAGGATTGACTGTTGAGAAAGTGGCTAGACTAAATGTCAACAAAATAAATTCGTTCAAGTAGAATGTCTAACCTGAAGGCCATTGGGCAGAAAGGATTCCATTTTTCAAGATTAAGTGCAATCAAGATTAAGTGCAATATAATCCAAAATTATCTGCACTGCCATTGGACTTCGCTTGTGCCACACCATATATCATATGTCTAAGAGGTGATGTAGGAAAACTGAAATGGATATTTAATTTGACGATTCAACAATCTTAATATACAGTAAATCATGTCCCGTTGAGGGTGGGAACAGTCACCAGCTATAAACACATTCTTCCTTCTCTCCACTTCAATCCAGCTACATCCTGCTGGCTTTTTCAAATCTCTCGTTTTCATCAGTTTTCTTATCTCCATGACTCCATCCCATCTAGCATTTGCTGCATATAGGTTTGACATCACCACATAGTTACCAATATTGTTCGCTTCAATTTCAAACAAGCGATTTGCCACAACACCACCCAATTCCACCTCATGATGGGTCCTGCAGGCACCCAACAATGTACCCCATATGTTTGCATTTGCTTCTATAGGCATACTAGTTACAAAAGAATATGCTTCATTTATCCGTCCTACTCGAGCAAGGAGATCCACCACACAAGCATACTGTTCTGTGGTCGGTTTGATCCCATAAACCTTCTCTATTGAGTGAAATATCTTGAGTCCTTCATCTACAAGGCCAGTATGACTGCAAGCAAATAATACAGCAGTAATGACAACATGGTCCGGCTTTACACCCAATTCAAGAATTTGAGAAAAAACTTTAAGTGCTTCCTCTCCCATCCCATGCATCGCATAGCCACCAACCATAGCAGTAAACATAACCAGATCTTTTTGTATGCTTGACTGGAAAATCTTATAGGCACTGCCTATGCTGCCACATTTCGCATATAAATCTACAAGAGATCCTTCCAAACGGACATCATTGAAACAAGCTCTTATTACATACCCATGGCACTGCCTCAATAAGTGGACTGAGGCCATCTGAGAACATACCGGAAGAAGGCTCATAATAGTCATGGCATCAGGCTTCAATCCTTGAACTTGTAACTGAAGGAATAGGCTAAGAGCTTGATCAGGACAATTACTGTCAGCATAAGCTCGAATCATTAGATTCCAAGTGGTGATATCCATTGTAGACATCCGCTTAAATATCATATATGCTTCATCATACGATCCACAATTCACATAACCTGAGATCATTGAATTTAATGTGACCAAATTTTGCTTCTCCGCCAAACTGTGAAAAATACTGAGCGCATAATCCATGTTACCACATTTTGCATATGCATCAAGTATTGCATTTCCCACATTAGGCTCAATATCACCTGATAAAAGACCTGCCTTAATTGAATAGCCATGTGTTTCCTTAACCATATTTACACTCAAAACAATAGCACAAAAATGAACTATGGTTAAGATAGTAATGGAGTCGGGTCTAATTCCTTCCCAATGCATACTGTGTAAAAGGTTAAGAAACTGAATATCATATCCACTCTCTGAAAAGGCATCGAGTATAGAATTCCACGATATCAAGTCTTTCCTAGAAATCAACAAAAATGTCTGATATGCTGCTTCTATTTCATTACATTTTGCATAGAAATTAACTAAAGCATTCCCCACAGTTGCATCCTCATCTAGGTAAGGATGACGGAGATAGTACCCATGAATCTCTTTTCCAACCTTCAAGTTCAGTAAGTATGCACAGGCAGGAAGAATGTTGACAAAAGTCACAGAATCTGGCCTTATCATCTCTACAGAGATTAATTCACAAAAAAAATTCAATGCTTTTAACCACTCACCATTTGATGCATATCCAGCAATAATGGCATTCCACGAAACCAGATCTCTTGATTTCATCCTCCGAAACAACAATTCCGCTTCTTCCATCTGTCCAACTCTCAAGTAAAAGCTCAACAAAGCATTGCAGACTGAAACATTTGATATTAGTTCAGCCCGGCGCAACACATAACAATGAGTCTCTCTCCCAATGCAGTAGCCCATACTCTTATCCAAGGAAGCACATATAGGTAGAATATTCACAATTGTTGCATAATTCGGTTCTACTGATCCTCTCAGCATCCAGCTGAACAATCTCAATGCATTAGTAATCAATTTATTTTCAGAAAAACCTGAAATGATTGCATTCCAAGAAACCACATCTTTGTCCTTAATGCTGCCAAATACAGAGTACGCATCCTTGTGGACTAACCCACATTTTGCATACATAGATACAAGAGCATTTCCTACTAATGTTTGTGCTTCAAGTCCAGATTTAATCACAAACGCATGAACACTCTTCCCTCCACGTATATTTCCTAACCGTGCACACACGGGAAGGACAATAGCAACAGTCACAGAGTTAGGCTTAGGTTGGTTACTAAAATGCATATTATAGAACAACCTCATCACTTGATCATCATAACCACGAGAACTTGCAAACCCAGATAATACAATGTTCCAAACAACAGGATCAAGGGTACCCATCTGTCCAAACAGTTTCTTGCAATCATCAACAAGTGCACATTTTGCATACATATTAAGTAAGGCTTTGGACACAACCTGGCAAGAAATATGGCCCAGTTTTATGGCATAACTGTGAAGAGCTTTGCCTAGTTTGGTGTTAAAACCAGCAGCACAAGATTTGAAAATGTCTGCGAATAGTTGGTAATTGTGCCTTGGTGAAGACTGTATCTTATGAGCCAAAAGAAAAGGAGTTTCTTTTGTGAATTCCATCGCCAAGAAAATTACTGATTATATGTTGCATGATCTGGCATTTGGTTTAAACATATCTGCAAACACTAGTTGCCCATTTTATATCGTTAAAGCAGCCAAAACACAAAAGAGAATATACAAGAATTAATATATTGCTCAAAATGGAAGATTCTAACACTATAAGGATAAATTCCCACGCGGCTTAAAAGAACAAGGGTATAAAAAGAGAACACAAGCGTACCTATCTTGAGATATGTAAGCAAAAATTTCCAACCTTGGATTTTGTAGCAAACCATGACCTGCGCACAAAAAAAAAAAAAGTGTAAATCTATAGATAGAAAACTTACACAGAAGACGGCGAAAGCAAGCTACAGAAATATGATATGGAAGCAATTTTCACTGTGAAGGGCAAAGATGATGGTCCATGCTCTGCCTTCTCAGTAAGACAGAGAGTGTGAAAGAAAGAAGAAGGAATATTATATAGATAAGGGTATTTTCCATAATAGCCGAAAATAATTAACTCATATACCACCATATTTACAAGAAACTTGAATCAACACAAAGGTTTGGGTTCTACCTTACGAAAATTTTCCCTCCATTTTTCTCTCAATAGTGAAATTTTAAAGCATCAAAAAGGATAAATTGATCACATTCCATCAAGAAGCGAGAAGATGCTGTAAAGAAATTTAAGAAACACAAAAAACAAAAATCTCATACGAGGGCCTGCCCAAGAACTTTCTTCTTTTTACCTTTAATTTATCAAACCCACCTTAAATTTTAACTGGGCAAATGAATTTGCGGTTGTTTATCATATATTGAAAATCAAATATGGCCGTTCAATATCTACAACTAAAGAAGAGGACACTACTTGTCGCAATTACTTTCTTAAGATACCATTTCTAATCGAGTAATCGAAACTCACGTGCTGATTAGGAAGCAAGAGTGGAGGCAGTTGATGACGTATTGACGTTTCTAGTTGAGGTAATAACATTTCAATCCTGAGGTAAAGGTTTGGATAAAGTATCACTTTGGCCCGTGTCAGATGACTGCCGTTAGAGATTTTGGTATCTGATAATGCTTGAGTCATGGAATACCCATAAAACCCTGCTACAGAGCATAAAATCAAGACTTTAGAAATGAAAAAAAAAAATACTAAAATTAAATTAATATGAATATAATATAAACAATTAAGGGGCGTTTGGTTAGGGGTTATATGGGATTACTGGGATAATGTCATTTTATATTACTTGATTACTATGTTTAGTTATCAAATAATATAAGATACCGGTAATTAGGGGTGTTCGGTTTCGGGTACCCTGTACTTTTTGAAGGAACCGAAACTGACGATTCCTTGAAATTTGGAACCAGAACCGGAATCGACGGTTCCGGTTCTGAGTACCCTGTAAAACTTTATGAGCCCCCAAATTTTGAAAAAAGTGGCAAAAAAACCCTTAAAAACTTACCAGTACCCCCCCCCCCCCCCCCAACCTGGCACTTATTAACAAAAATAAAATTACAAACTCCATTACTTTGTAAAGGTAGATTCTCAAAATTCAAACCAACTTACTTTAAATGTTATGAAATATAAATGTATTCACATTACTTTTTCTACAAAAAGTTTTTATTAACCCCCATAATCTTTAATTTTATTTTATGTTAGTCTCAGTTCCTGGTTCCTGGTTCCGGTTCCTAACTATAGGAATTGAAACCGCACAGCAACGGTTCCAATCGAAACCTATTCATTGACAATTGGTTCTGGGTAGGAACCGGAACCGAAACCAAACCCAGGATACCCGCCGGTTCCGGTTTCAACCGGTTCTTTTGAACACCCCTATCGGTAATATTCAAATACCAATAGTGGTTACTATTGATAATATGGGAGGTAATCTGATTACCTCAATTTTCTTAGGTATTCTGAGATTACCAGGGTTATCATTTTTTGTTACAATTTTATCCCTTAGTAATAAAATTTTTGGACAATAATACCCCTACTTTAAAACAAATTTACATTAATATCCTATTTCAATTTTACCCTTGTTTAATTAAAATTTTGGACAATAATGCCCTTATATTTAAAATAATTTACAGACCACCACTGCCACCCAACCACCACCACCACTGCCACCCAATCACCACTGCCGACAGCGAGCCAACCACCATGGGCCGCCGCTGGAAAATCACCAGAGTCCCCAAAAAAGAACGAGATTCAGTGGGAGACTCCAAGAGGCTTTGATATGGCTGTTTCCGACCAAATTGATGGCCAAAAACGGCCATATTGGGCCAGATTGATGGAACTAGCTGTTAACGGTCAGATCCCTGGCCATTAACAGCCAGGTATGGGCGAGATCTGGCCAGAATAGATCTGGCCGTTAACGGCCATGTCCGTGGCCGTTAACGGCCAGATCTTGCCCAGACCTGGCCGATAATGGCCAAGGATCTGGTATGGCCAGAAACGGCCATATCGGAGCCTCTTCGTCACGGTGAGGTACTCACGGGTACTTTCGGAGATTTCCGACGGTGGTTTGCGGTGGCGGCGACAGGAGGTGTGGGTGGTTTCGTCATAAATTAAAGTTTTATATAAGCGGGGGTGTTTTAGCTAAATCTGAAATATTGGGGGTTAAAAGAAATTATTCAAAAATTAATAATAAAAATAATTTTATATTAATATTTAAAAGGGGGACAATTTAGTAATTTAAATAACATACCCACCAATTTATTCCCCATAACCAAACATATTAATATAACATACCCGCCAACTAACCAAACACATTTTTNGTCCCACATATTATATGGAATGGACGCCCGTCCTGCTAATTTGGACGGGCGTCCATTTATGTCTGTTTTCAATCGGTCCAACGTGGCGGCTTCCACGTGTTTCGGTGCAACTTTTTGGTGGATATAGCATTTTTGTTCTAAGCAAGGCGTTTGTCCGATTTTCTTTCTGAGGTTATTTTCGTCAATATATTTATTTATTTACTGATTAATATCATATTATTTACTTTTTAAAAGAATCCATTGCAGCGGATGTTAAATATTAAGTAAAATCCTTAAGTGACTTGATGATAATCGAGCATAGAGTAAAAGAAAATTTCATAAACTTTTGAGATTAAATTTCTCAAACACTAATAAAGGTGATTATTAAAGTTTTTATCCAGCCAATAATTTTAAAATTTTAAAAAATTAGTTGAGATGTAGACAAATTGGTCCAAATACCCTTGTTATATAAAAAAAAAAAAAAAAACCAAACCACCTCCAAAATCCAAACCATCGAACAAACAAATAATGTGGTCCCTTAAATATACATGCTTCCTATATACAATCCTTAAAAATAAAACAAAAAAAAATCACAAACCAAAAAACCGCTGCCACAGAAGAAGAATGGCCACACATCTGGAGGCGTGGCAATACCGCTGTGATATGGCTTTAGGGCAAGGCCACGCCGAAAAGATCAGGGCAAGACCGGCGACGACAGGCTAAGTTGGGTTGTTCCGGGCTGGGGCGAGTTATGGCGGTAAGGGTGAGGGTTTGGAGTGACGGTTGATGAGTGTCTTCTTTTATAATTTTGTTAATTTTATTTTACATTCTTAGAATCTTTATTTATCTAAAGACAACAGTGCCCTTACAATGTCTAACACACCCTAACGGCAGTCATCTAACAAGGGCTGCAGTGACTCTTTCAAATTTCCCTGGACCACATTGTTTTCTCCAACAGTCCAACGTCACGGATATAGGTGGAAAAAATAGGCCGAGTTAGGCGGGTCAATCCTAACCCGACCCACCTCAACCCGGGAATAACCTGGCCCAGCTTAAGGGCGGGCCAGGTTGAACCCGGCTCTGGTATCCCCCGTCGGGCGGGGTGGGCCTTCATAGGCCAACGTGGCCACCCGACGAGTTATTTTATTTTATTTTTTTAAATAACCCTTCCAACCCATCGGGTTAACCGGTGGGTCAGGCGAAAAAATAAAAAAATTATTTTTTTTTGCAAAAACTCTTTTTACTCTTCAAATATAACCGTCTTATAGCAGTTGGAGGGGTCTTTTTGGTCATTTTCTTTTTCCATTTTTCTCTATTAATAGGACATAAACTTCTCATATTTCCTCACATCTCAAATTCTCTCATTTTCTCTATAAAAATCTCTTAAATCTCTTTGTTGTCAATTTATTCTCATTTTGCTCTCATTTTAATTTTTATCAGTTTTTGCAATTTTCAATCATATTTTCAAATTTCAATTCTCCTTCTTCAATTCTTTTATATCAATTTTTTTTTTTTTTTTAACTAGAATGGATAGATATTTCCATCCCACCATCAATTTCGAAAATGAAGAAAATTATCCTAATTTACTAACATAAATACAGTAGATTCAAACAGTCACGCTTTCCCATTCTCAGAATCTGATACACCTCACAATATTTCCCCTTCCTCCCCATGCTGCTACAACTCTCGGTAGTTCTAGAGGTCGTTCTCGTAATCGTCGTCCTTGTCCAACTCCATCTAAAGTAGAAGCGGGTTCATCAACTGCAGTCGGAACCGACGACAAGCACACATCAGACGTTTGGGTGCATTTCGAAAAGTTTTACTAGACAAAAAATGGCGTTCAAGTGAAGAAAACAAGATGCAAGTATTGTGGAAATATTTATAAAGCTGATACAGGTAATGATACTAGTACTTTAAAAAGTGATGCTAGTAAACATATAAATAATCATGAAATAGAGAAACCAATCAAACTCAAATAACTAGTATGAGTAATACTTGGCGTTATAATTTTGATGTATATAGGGAACAATTAGCTTTATATATTGTTGCAATTAATCAACTTATTAATATGGATGAAGATAAATATTTTCAAAGATTTATTAAAAAATCATTTTTTTCAAGAATTTAAAACTTATTTTAAAACTTCAACTAGAAATGATTTAATAAAATTGTTTGGGAAAATGAAATTAGAATTAAGAAATAAAATACATAGTTATCATGTTAGTGTGACTCTAACTGCCAATATTTGGAGTGGTAGAGCTAACCAAGATTATATTTGTGTGATTAGTCATTATTTTGATAACGAATGTAAATTTAATAAATCTTTATTGGGATTTAAATTAATGGATGTGGATCATAGTGGTCAACAAATTTATAATAAAATTGTTGAAGTTTTAGAAGATTATGATATTGTTCACAAAGTGGTAAGTTTAACTTTAGATAATGCACGTGCTAACAGTAGAGCTATAGATTTTTTTAAAATAATTTTTTCTTTTTATGACAATTTGAAGTTTTTTCACTAACATTGTGCATGTCATATTATTAATTTAATTGTAAAAAAATGGTATAAAAAGAATTAGAAATAATATTGATAAAATTAGAGATTATTTAACTTAGATTACTAGTAATAATAGAAGAAATGCTGAATTTCTAAATGCTTATAAAAAGTCAAATTTGTCTCCTAAAACTTTTGCATTGACATGTTTGTTAGGTGGAATAATATTTATTTAATGTTTAATTCATGTTTACCTTATGCAAATTTAATTAGTTATTTTATAGCAAATCATAGGGGTCCTCATTATTTGGTAGAGAGTGATTGACATAGAGCTCAAAAATTTTATGCTTTTCTTAAAATCTTTTATCTTGCCACTTTAAAACTTTCTGGTGTGTATTATCCTACTAGTTCATTGGTAATACATACAATTATAAAAATTTCTAATTTATTTGCTTGAAACAGAAACAATGAAATTTTAGTAGGACCAATAAAGGCAATGGAATTAAAATTTTAAAAAATATTGGAAACATATTCCTTTTCTTTTTTGTTTAGCTGCCAAATTTGATCCTAGGATTACATTAGTGGGT